CTATTTAAGTGTACTGACTATTAATTAATTAACAATTAATTCATCCAAACTTTGATAAATTCCGTGCCATACAGTAAATGCCATTTATATGACTGTATTCCACGATTCCGTCCGCTTTTTCCGCATCGCGGAAATCATAGATAATATTGAGGTGTTTTGCAACTTCAGTGTAACAGTTAGTGGATTGGGATCTATTGCAACTTAAGCAACGTCTGCTGCTGCCTTATCTTTGAGAGACAACTGATGCGTGATCACTGAAGCAGCTGCAGTTAGCAAGCGCTTTTGGAGTGAGAGTGAATTCCGCATTGATTGGTCGGACTCGTGACTCCCAACAAGTCAGATGAGTGGTGGGCGGAGACTGCTTTAGGCCACAGAGTGGCAAAGAGCCAAATAGCACGTTTCAAAATTAAGTTATTTTATTGGCGAATCGGTTTTGAAAATGACCGATACCGATAATCATAAAAATGCTTAATATCGGCGGCGATAATCGGCCAGGCCGATAATCGGTCGACCCCTACTCTGAATCTCAGGTGAGAATTGTCATTTTGACCCCCTTATTCAAAATAGTGGATTACTCACTACATAAACATTGATGACATTCAATGTTCTGGCTTTTATCACTATACATGTTTATCTTCAGGAAAAAATAATGACAAAATCTAAAAAATTGAACCAGGGAAGTTTCTGAAATCCAGTTGATTTGACAAATAATCACCCATATTTCTGTATAATAAATTTTTGTGCTACAAATATCATATTGTTGGCTTTGCGACACCCTAACATCAACCTCTATTGGAATCAATTGACAATCACAAGTCTCCTTTGTGCTTTGTGAGAAGTCTGTTATTTATGTGACAGTGTCACAGACTCTCTTTTGACCATGTAGGCCACAGATGACTTACACTTTGGAAAACAACAACTATATTCACTTTCATTAGTAAAAAACAAAGAAAAAAAATCCTTCGGTGAAATAATGCTTTCTATACATTTTGATGTGTTTTTCAGGATCTGGATGATATTGAAGATGAGAACGAGCAGCTCAAACAGGAAAATAAGACCTTGCTTAAAGTGGTTGGGCAACTCACCAGGTAGAACCCGGCGACCCGAGGATGGCTAAAATGGAGTCTGCGTCTCGCTGTGGCGGCCGGAGGGATTTGCTGAACGACGCCACTGCCGCGCGCCTCTGTCCTTTACATGTTCTGCTCTGGTTTTGCGTGTCTGTCTGTCTTGTCGTCGCTCTCTGGAAGAGGATGCATGCGCGCCTTGGGGAGGCTTCGAGAACCCGGACCTCTGGATGTCAAACCGAGCCACCCGACGCGATGTTACTCGATGCCTCACGCTTTCACTGAGGTTGTCAAAAGGAACTCGCCTTCTATTTAATGTAAATGTGTGTAAATAGGCTGTGCTGACTGTTCTTTTAAGGCTTACGCAGGACAACGAAAAGAGGAAATGCCTTTGAATGTACATGGTGCGGTACCAAATGATTTTCTTTCCTTTCTATTTTTCCAGCTCAGAGGGTTTTTTACATTCAAATCTCAAATTGCTCGAATCGCACTTTTAGGATATTTCAGCTTCAAGGGCTCCTCTATCAGTTAAAAGTGGCCTCAATTGCCTTTACATTTAAAGTCTGTCTCTTAAACACATCATTACTGGTGAGTCCAAAAAGTGCCTGTTGGACAGGAGCCCATCTATAAACTTATGGCCTCATTTTAAACTGGTTAACCAATCCTCCTTGGCAGTTGGCAGTACTAGGACCAATTCCGTGTTTTGGCCTCCGAGAGCGTAGCACAATGAACGTGTCTCTGGCTTGGAGCTTGCAAATGCTGTAATGAATATTATCTGTTATAGTCTGATCTTTTACATTTTACACGCTGTACAAATGTTTACAAGTTGTTTAAACTCTTGGTATCAATAGATGTAGCTATTCATCGTGTACGGTTAGCGCGACGTATAGCCTAGGCCACTGCGGTGCGTTTTCAAAATAACCAAATCAATCGGAGACGTTAAGCACATTCACATGGTCTCTAGTTGCCGATAAAGACGGCGATATGACATTACTTTACGTTAAATTGCTATTGCAAAGTCACCACTTAGGGGTTCATATCTACATCGATGCTAATCAACAATGCTAATGAAATGTATTCTGTAAAGTCATTTGAGGGGGGTATCTTTTTTTTTTAGTGTGTATAGAGGGGTGGGAGATATCTGTATCCCACCGCTTTACATAATGCATGTACAGAAGATTGAATAAAAGTCCATATAAAAAAAGTCAATAAAAATCATGACATTTGGTTTTTTCAGTAACTTTTTCCATTACTGTAATGAGGAAAAACTATTTTAAAATCAGTAAAGAAAATGTTTTTTTT